TGAAGAAGGCCAAGTTGTAATAGATGAGGATAGCTATCTACCTATCTAGTATCCAGCTTGATAGCTATCCTCATGCAACTTTTCTGAAAACAAAGATGGTGTTGCATTTTCTGTTTTAAATATTTCAGAATAACAGACATATTTGTACCGTTATTAGGCCACAGCAAGTAAATGTTATGCATGACATCCTCAGCAGACTCAAAATCTAATGCAACAGGGCGAACAAAACAAGGTGTACCAAAAACAAGATTCCTACATTTTCAAGTTTTGACATTACAAACTTTGTTAAAGCTGAAATGATACCTATATTGCGCTAAGTTTACTCTACTGAAACAACTTTGAAAAATAAAAGTTTTCAATCATTCTACAGATGGTTTTTATTCAGTGGGAACATCACATATAAAATGAAATTCATCACTGCATCAATTCAGTAAAAGACAAAGCATTAAATCAGAGACTTGCCTTGTCTCCTCTCTTCATATTCATCCGCCATCTACGTTCAGGCATGGCAACAAACATCTTTGGCCATTTTCGGTATGTTGACTACTGTCAGAGGGCAACAAAATTTGTTTTGTTTTCCAAAATCAGGCGAAAATTAACGCGCGCGCTGATGTCATCTATAAAAATTACTTCCTGTAGCTTTATGAAAAAAATGAATATACTGTAGGTTAGATACTCCAGAAATTAGTACACATACTGACAAGTAATAACTGTAATATATGCTTTTGAGTTGAAAGTCCTGAAGCTGTTTTTATCAGCGTCTCACGTCCGCGCCATTATTCAGGAGACCAGCCGAGCCAGACAGTCTTTACCCGATGGGTTTTACAGGTCTCGTTAGATGGCCGCCATTCCTCTGGACATCGATTTGATGTACTACTAAAGTCACGCATAGCAAAACACGAGCTATACATACAGAGTATCGGTTACTTGAATAGAGGAGTAGAGTTTTTTTATTGAGAGAAACATCAGATACATACAGAGAGTATATCAGTTACTCGAATACAGGAGTAGAGTTCTTTGTTTTAATTCTGAGAAAATTAATTCAGATACGTACAGAGTATATCAGTTACTGTAGTTGGAACTCACCTCCCAAAACACAAGACAAGAAAGCAAAAAGAACACATACATCTAACAGGATTAGAAAGTCTCAGATCTCCATGAAATTTTTGCTTTTTACCATATTGAGAGTTTAATATTTAAACAATGTCATCTAAGTGTATGCCTGTTACGATATTGTACCAAATTTTGAAAATTATAAATTTCGCCGTACTGAGTACAAGCAGATTCCCATGTCTGCAACGTTTTTGTTGGTGTTGATTTTAGACAACATCTGTTCAAAACAATGTTATCTATTGCAATTATATTGTACATATAATGTTTCTTTCGTTTGTAAATAATGTAAATTGTGTTTCGTGCCATTACGTGTGTTATTTTTCCATGTAATCGGTTATATGTGTGTTATTATTTTGTGTGAACCATGTAAGAATAGCCATCAGTGCTTTATTTAAATAAAGACAATAAAGACAACGCGCTTGCTTACCACTACTGGTAATATTATTGCTGGATCATACCAATAACATGCATCTGCCCACGTAATCCATGGAAATGGTAAATATTAATGTGCATAGGCGGTATGGTTTAGTGAAAGACGTCAGAAAGGCTATATCAGATGATTCAAGTGTAATTAGTGTATGGAAAAATTCTTACGGTCATATTGGTATACTATATATGGAAATGGCCGTTGCCTTGACCTTCGTTTACTTCCATGGTAGCTGCAGCGTACTCTAAATGCCAGATGTTGTTCCATGATTAACTAGGATATATAAGCCGGTCTCCAATAGTAACTGCTCCCTCCCTTTAATCAGATACAATTTATCGTAAAACATGACTTAAAGGGGGGCATCTTGTGGCGACTACAACGTGACGACGATGCAAACAGGAAACGTTATCTCCTGTAAATCTCATCATTAAAACTTTCATACCTTCCTGCTCATGGTGATGAGGCAATGCTTACTGGATGTTTTTCTTTACAAGCCCGTCTTACATGGCTTCATTGGGCGTTCAGCCTTCGGGGAAATGTCAGAGACGCTCCGAGCATTTTATGATCATATTACCGAGTTTGTCCTCGTTATCGGAGGCAATGCACTGGCAGGTTTATCAAAGCAGAGCGCACTTAGGGCTGCGGATGGCTGCATGAGAAAGAAGGGGTATGCTCGCGCACGATATGGGAATATTGCTCTAGCACTCTCCTTTATCGCCTTTAAATGCAGTGTACTGCTTATCAAATTGTCAGTCAGGAAAAGTCCGGGTTCATTTACGCTTAGCAGAAAAGTGAGAAGGTAGCGTGTGCGCTTCTGTGCCAAAGCCAGGGTGTTTTTCATTGGCTCTCTATCAGCCAATGGCGTAGCTTCTGTTGGTGTTTGAATTTCCCTCACAACTTGGAAGTCTATAGATGACCTCCCAACACCACAACTTAAAACAGAATAAAGCTGTACTATATAAACAGGGTAAGATTCAGACAACCTAGTTCGGGACAAGGCGTTTATGTATGTATTCAAATCAGCTTATATCAGGGACTATGATAAAAGTCCAAGCACAATCAGAAGGAAGCAGATGTGGCTTACCAACAAACTGCTGGCTATAAGCCTTTTCCCCCAGTGGATCCACTGCCAGATAGAAATTTATGAAGGGTGATTGAACGACAGCCTCAAAAGAGCTTATTGCCAGCTATATTCCACTGAAGGCATTTTGTGTAGGTGTGAGGTTCAACTGTCGCTACTTTGAAGGCAACGCAGGTAGCTAGCCATCCGTGATACAGTCCATTTCTTATAGAGTATCAACTTGTACTTCGAGAAAGCTGCTCCCATCTATAGGCGTACAAAAAGCAAGTTTTTTTATCGTCTCTGCGGATATGTGAGGCACGTTTTGGTGAAGTTCCAGTACATTTGAAGACATCTCTTCGGAAAGAATACAATGAGGGTGCAATATTAGGTAGCCCTTCAGGAGTCTGTATCCTTCTACGGAAGATGATTTTCCCATTTACCGTTGCCACTTACCTGCAAGTAAGCCATGTTCAACGGCCTAAAAGGAGTCAAGGTCACAAAATTACTGCTTGGAATCCTGGATATAGGCACAATATCACCAAAGAAAGGGTTCTAAGAGGGCATTTAAGTTCCAATATTACATCCCCGGGCAGACAAAAATGGCCCGTTCTCCAATTTTGCGGTACGAAAGTGTACAGTTTCCGTTCTGGTCTTTGGCATGTAAAATGAATAAGCTCTGGCATTTGCGAAAAAAAATATCCGAGTAGTATTTTTGTAAAGACAAAAAGGCTTTTCGCATGTTAATTGTTTAAACGGTCCTAAACCTGCATGATCATACAATGCAAACTTGGGCAAAAATGTGCTCTAGGATAGGAACCCATAGTTTGGTCCACGCTAAAGATCAATTAAGGAAAAAAAGTCAAAGATGTCAAGCAACGTCAAATGTTACTGCGCAACATTTGCATCAGCATTTACAATGTATTGCAAATAACATGGACTATTTACAACTACAAACTATCGTACTAATGTAACCCCATTATTCAATACATGATACAATGGAATATTAACAACAAAAAACGTTCATTAGTCTTTTCCTTTCTTAATTATAAGAATAACACATGAATAATAATAACCTTCATTGTACACGTGAAGTACAGGTGAACAGATGAAAAGGTATATACATGTTTGTACTACAAACAACTCTAAAACTACATTTATACGAAGAGGTACGGCTTCTTCTCGTACATTTCTTTGTGATGTTAAAAATATAATTTGATGATCAAAGCGCATAAGAAAGATGAATTTTTCAATATTAGTCAGGTATTGGACGTATGGGAACGTATCAATAATCAGGAAATAATATTCATCTTCAATTTTGTCTTTGCAGGTTAGACCTATTCTTCTTTCTAATGGTATATTTTTTTATGACGACCCTGCTTAAGTTCCTGGGTGTGAATGAAGTATAAAGTGAGCTAAAATCCACCAACTGCAGTGTCTCAGCCACCGTCAGGCCCTGCGCATTTTTCTCGGACGATTTCGTCCTTGCGTCCCGCTTAACTTCCCCCGAACCGCGCCTCACCGTAAGCTGATGTATAGGAAGTATCGTTAAATAATGGGAGGGGAAGAGTGAAAAACGAGTCACCCCGGACAAGCGCGGCTACGCGAGTTCACATTACCGTACGATCTGTGCTGGAGATACGGCCATATGCTCTCATGATACATTCGGCGCCCAAAGACTAAGGGTAACATTTGCTCAAGGCGGACACGTCCATGCTCCAGTCTCCATGGTGACAGATGATGTATAAGTTACCGGGCGGGTTTTGCCATCGATTGGTTTTCAGGGCAGGTTCGTGAAACATGTTGGTACAGTCAAGGTTTTTTTAAATACCTTTGAATAGTATAGGAAAATGTACTGTCATATCCAGAACAGGTCCTATCTAGTTCAAGGCCTGGATGATTAGGTTTAGGAGTAGCCACGGTTCTGGATAGTCTCAACGGGTCCAAGAACGTAGATATACCCTGGGCCCACACGGGGTTCTGGATTCGTGTGGACTATCCAGAACTGTTTGTGATGTGACAGTGAAAATGTAATATGTTAATTGTGAATGTTATATGTTGTTTGTGAATAATATTGGTCTTAGTGTCAGTTTTGCTTGTTTGGCTTCGTCCATAGCAGACGATGAGCATCGTCCATAACAGATAAGAAGGCAGAACCGTGCATGTGGCAAATCTACGTTCTTGGATACACAGAGACTATCCAGCACCGTGTGGCCCTAACCCATTTAGGCACGGGTTTGGATACAATACCATCTGTGTCTAACCTCTAGAGTTATAACTGACGGTAAACAAGTACACGCTTTGACACGGCCTCATTTGCAGCATAATTCAATTCAGAATATCGGACGGGACACGAGCGGTACCGGTGTTACGGCTATTGGCAGTGATAGACCATCATTTGTTGGCGGTTTTTCCAGTCTCTCCAGGGGCCTCGACCCTCGTGGTACGGAAAGGCTTTCAGGTCGCCAAAAACGTATTTCACTCCTCCTGGCTGAATCCTCTTCTACACCGGTCCAGAAGGTAGGTGTTTTGACCTTTGATTTTGTGTTAAGTCGTTCATATCCGCCCCGCTCCCAGTATGGATTCGGGATGCGGTCGTGTTGGATATCGGAGCGGGGGATAGAAGTAGCTGAGCCCCGTGACTTCACGTCATTCGCGGGAAGCTCTGCTTGTGAATACCACGTGCCTACGGGGATACAAGCAACGCTGTGTTCCCGGAAAATATAGCTCTCTGCTGCGTGTTTTTTCTTCTTCTGAGGTACTACAGCTTTGACGTACGCAGCAAGCAAGGTAGGACCAGTTAACATTGACCTGTGTAACCCCGTGTGCACCTAAGTGTTGATAGCGATGCTCTCTTCTTGCCTACATCTGTCTGTGAATTTTCCTGGAATATATTTGTATGTCGTCCTCGTAAATCAAACACAACATATGTAGTAAGCGTGGGGAAACATGCTGTTAGGGAAGATAAATTCTCAAATCTGGGTATGCGATCTTCTCCTTGCGCTATCGTACTTGTGTTGTACGTAGATCTAACTCGTTAGTAGTTGTCACGGATGTATATATACTGTCACAGGCTGTAGCCTTGAGCGCTCAGTGACCTTACGTACAACGTCAGCACCGCTGAGTATCTCTTCAACCTGTCAGCCATAACCTTGTGCATCACGTACCGTTATTTATCACTCCTCTGTCAGTGTGTCCAAAGAGAGAAGGAAACGAATACCGCTAGGTAGTTGAGAACGTAAAGCCTATCTAACATGAGTTATCCCTGTTCGCACTAAGTCCACACACACGTTAATCTTACTGCGATACCCAGCGCTAGGGGAATTTTTGATTCCCCAAAGTCAACAGCGCGTTTGGAATACCATTGGTGATTACAGACATTCCTTTTTTTCATTTTTCAGAAGTAGCGTACATAGATGTGCAATTGTCAAGCTGTTACGTGTTTATTTTTACACACATGTAGTTTTACCCATCGAATTCCTGTCCATGGTTTGCTTTATGTGAAAGACTGTAGGATTCAAATAAAAGATTCCTGGCTTTCTTCAAAATACAATTCTAGTCCAAGGTTTAGGGCTAATTTCTTTATGTCTGTAAAGTAGTCTATGTAATTATAAAGCACTCCTCTGTATTTGCCCATACTACATAGTCCTTGTAATGCAGATTAGTCTCATAGTATGTTGTTATTACACATACGTATATAGCAGTAGATGCCATTGCTTATTGTACAATTTTTGTGCAATAAAATCCGTATTGCTCTTGGGGATACTTCACTATATCTATATGAAAGAGATTACAGATTACATACATTATCTATTCTTGATGTATTACGAAACCTGTACATTGGTATGGGAAATCTTTAATCCGTATAATTCTGGATGTGCTTTTTGCCGCAGGGAAAGCTTACTCTTTAAGCTAGACTAGAGGCAAATCCAATAAAGCCATAAAGGATGTAAAAAGAGTATGACTTTTAAAAGATTTTGCATATCTATTTACTACTTCTGCTCTTTAGTTGCTCGTAGGGGTGCGCTTAAACAGGGGCAAAGCCACACATTCAGAATCCCCCCCAACACCAACCAAGGGCAGTCTGACAAGACGTAGGCCACGTCTACCTTTTCTATACGAATCGAATCCAATTTTATTAAAATTTGAGTCAGATACGACCCCCGAACACTTCCAACCTACTTCCGAACACCAGACATAGCCGAAAGTCCCGTCCACACCCTAATGTTTTAAACATTTTGAAGCATTCGGCTGACGCAGCCGAACAGCAGCCGACTTCGCCTAACATCAGACAACTACAGGCAACCTTGCTTCTGACCTACTCCCAACCATACTTGGGTAGAGTTCGGCAGTGTTTGGGAGGGCATATTCAGCTATGTGTGACAAGAACGTAAGCCAAAGGAAGATGTGGCTGACAATTTACGACAATGCCCTTTAGAGTGAAAGGGGGGATCTATTTTACTGGACTTGGTCATCATGATGGTTGTTTTCCCCATGTAGATTGTAGGTTTCGGCAGCACTGGGATGCAAACTATCTCCATTTTCAGTGCATTTGGAACTATTTCAGGACACAAACATTTTCCACTCACAATGGGCTCTACAGGCGTAGCATAATTCATAGTAGTAGACTGGTTTATTAACCCTATACAGACAGCGCTTTTTTGGGCATGCTGAAACTTGGAATTTTGAGGCTCGCCCCTGTAACTGAACAACCACTTATCGTAGGGCCACCACATATTTAGAGAGTGTTGTAGTAATACAATTTTAATCTCTAACAATAACTTTGGTGTAATTATGACGTGTTAATTAAAAGTGGTTACACCAGAGTTAATGGAGTGGTCCGCCATATTGGATTTTGACCAATGACGTCATAAAATTAGCAAAGATTTTGAATATATAATGATAGAAATTATATATAATCATGATATAAGATGTTACCCATGTTAGAAAAGCAGTGCAATTTAATATAAAACCCAGAAAATGTTCATGTTTAAACCAAAATTATTGATTTAAAAAAATTGCCTGTCAGAAACGTGTTGCTATGGCAACACAAAAATTCATTAACTTGTTTAATTAATATGAAATTGTTTCCAGATATATTTTAGGAAAGTCACCAAATTTGATGGTTCTAGCGCAAGCCGTTTAGGCGCTATCTGAGATGAAATTTGGCACAGGCCTCAAAAGACCACTCCCCACCGTCTGAATAATGTTAAACAAGAAAATTTAAGCACTGACAAGGCTCCTGACAGTCGTAATGGCTGAATTGCGAGGCTTATTCTAACAAATATGTCCATAAAACTATATACATTTATAAATTTCAAACGGCAGAGTAACAATTATAGATGAGATTATTACGTCTTCTACATGTATACATTATAGTTTACAAAAGAACGAATATAGTAGATTCTCAAGTATTTAATTGCTGTATATACCAACGTTCCTCCATGGGGAATTCGAATCTTAAAGTCTTATAATTACTTGATCCACATACCTACCTTCAACGTATTTTTAAAACAATGGATTTGTGTAGAGAGCTATGCTTGGCAGATGATTGGGTCCAGAACTGGCCGAAAAAGGTTGAACTGAATGCAAGAAAAAAGGAAGATGTATTTGAAATATTTGTGAACCGTAGTGCAAGTGGCAAAACATATTTCGAAGGAAGAACTGTTCAAATTAACATGTAGATAGCAACTGCTTCTTGCAAAATACTTAACCAGTATTGGTATTTCAACAACTACACTGGAATGCGGAGCACAGTACATTATCATCATCATCAACGTTATCAACATCAACATCATCATCATCATCATCATCATACAGGATAAGGGCAAAATAGACTGAGCAGAGACATGATTTTCTATCATCCTACTTGTCCGATTGCTGAGAGTACGCAAACTTCCATTGGGTCCCACCATTTCATTGAACTAGGACGGGGGGCGGTACCGACTTCCAACCAGGCATTACCCATGTATTGATCCGCTATCAAACTGGCTGTTGTTCAGATAAACCTTTCGACTTACGTTTTAAGAGCTACAGTAGACCTGCAGAGTTAAAAAAAACGTTGAGCATATTTTGTTGATGTCTGTGTGTGTAACATTGTCCACCACCAGACGTATAATAAATGGCAGCGTCTGCTTCATTCACCGCCAGACCGTTAACTTAGATGGTGGGCGGATGATACATGGACGTATCAGAGCTTATAGGACGTCTGCTTATGAACGCCTTCTGATATACGCACCTCTGCTGTAATGTGTCGTGGTCGGCAGGTTATTGTAACATCACCTTGCCGATAAAGCGAGGGGACAGCGATTAAATTGACCGCGTGCGGAAGGGGGTGGGGGGCAAAAGCCGGGTGCAAGTCACTGCTTGTTTTCTCCCCATTAAAACGGACTAATACGTATTTTGGGGAAAGTTGTTGAAAATCCCAACACTTCAACAGCATCTTTGCTGGATATAAGATTTGAGAATGGTAAAGATTTAGACTATATTTTTAACGAATTTCAAAGTTCTTTATTCAAGACCAAGGGGTGACGTTTTCATGACCGTCTGTCATCAACTTTGGGGCTAATATGACTGGTTTATTGTGCACTTGGGCTAGGTGTTACTGTATGTTTCAAATGACCGCAACTGCTACAGATAGAGTCCTCTGCTGTTAATGTTAATAACATGCGTCATTCTTTCACCAACACTGAGTTACAAGATACTCATATTTCAATTCAGTCAACAGGCAGTGATGTACCGATACCCTGATTAAAATCACATCCACTATTCAGGCATGCAGACGACTCAAAGTGCGGAGGATCCGTCACGTCCTAATCTGATTGTGATATGATTGATGAAGCTGGTGGGTAGAGGAGCTTCTGCCTGCTCATGACATGCATTTTTGACTGGGGCCTTTCTAGGTCAACTGATACATCTGGCGTACGTGCGGGTACAAAGGGGGGTGTGGGAAGTTTGCCAACAAAAACGAGCACGTCCCTTTTTTTAGACTCCACCTAAAGAAGAAATCGGACTTTCTGGAAGTATTTTTGTGGGAATGTATAACGGAACTGTATTGGGGAAAATACCTGATTGAAACTGATCATGGAGTAATACCCAGTAAAATTAAATCACAGAATGTATTACTACTGCAATTGTATGGCATCACTTGCTCTGGTATTACTTGTTTCATACTATGATTATACAGTTCACATTCCTGGTGACCTCACTCCCTATCACCCAAAGCATACCCGGCCACAACCCTGTCAATCATCTGAGTCCCAATCTCCTGCCATTCACTTCCTATCCTTGCCGAAGAAGCTACCCAAAACAATATTTCCGTCCCGGATACATACACAGTAGCGACTGAAAAGTTGCTAATTCCTTTCTCCACCAGACACTGTATGCGCATTTAGATGTACTTTTAGACATTGGAATAGACCAGGAAGAGAACATTCCAGTGCTGATGAGTGCGTACTTCCCAACGCACTCTTGCCTGATTTATCACTAACATACGAGGCCGTCCGTATGAGAAGGATCGG